TATCGATTTTATCGATTCGTTGTTGCAGCCCTACTTACCAATATGATATTTTCTGGAATGAGTCACTGATTTCATAGCAAATGAACTCAAGGATTTCAAGTTATAGAAATAACAAAGGTTAAATGTATTAAAACGGGAATATGCATTACTGTATATACATATGCATGGGGAATCAATAGGCTGAAAAAATACGACTCAACAAGTAAACAACATGAAAGTGAAAAATAAACACTAAAACTAAGCTGTTGGCTCATATTTTGAAAAAAAATTTGCAGCAGCAGATCTGAGAGGATGACAAAAGCGAACATTAGGTGTCATCATAAGATTAAAAAAAAATGTGTCAGCAAGGTGGTGGATCTCACAAATGAAGAAAGACACCTGAGACCTTCTGATGCATGAACATGAGAAAATTAGTACTATCACAAGCCTCCTTTTAGCCTAAAACTAATCGCACCCCTGGCAGATTTAGGATTAAAATAACTTATTAATTATACAACTATGATTCTTGACCCTGAGTCATACAGTATGAAGGTTTGGGGGTGGCATGACCAAAGTAAAAAAAAACAAATAAATAAATAAATTTGAAAATCTTCGGAGGGAGCAACATATAAGAATGATGGTAAGGACTCCTTTCATCATAATTCCCAAATTATCAATATACCAGTAAGTATTATTAAAATAACTCAAAATCTTTTTTTTAAACAGTGTATGAAAATTTGTTCAACACAAAGTGAAATGTTGCAGAACACATTTTAATTGTTGAAAATATTTACTAAAAAACAGAATTATAAATAATATCTAATTACTGTGCTGCATTCTTGTGCACCCAGTATTGTTATTGCTAGATTTTCTATTCAATAATTGAAAATGTAAAAAAAAAAAAAAAAAAAATGTAAATAAATATCTGGTTACCCCCGATTTAAGCCTGTTTAGTGGTTAATAGTGGCCCATAGCAACTAACCAAAAGTTAACAATGCATCGCGTATGCATTACTGTAACTGCTAGACTTCTAGAGCAGAGGTCATGGATTAGCTGACCACGGTCCGGATCCAGAGCCACCTCCTGGCTAATCCGTACCCAACCTGATTTAGAACATTTATAAATTACCACATATTGTCTGATGATTATTGGCATGGGAGCTGGCTCGGAGCTCGTCTGCCTGGCTGTTTGTTTCCTGAAGGGGACCGCTTTTTGCAGCTACTTTTTGTGTCTCTACTTCTGTCTCCTTGAACCCCAGTCGGCCTCAGCAGATGGCCGCTCACACTGAGCCTGGTTCTGCTGGAGGTTTCTTTCTGTTAAAAGGGAGTTTTTCCTCTCCACTTTCGCTACAAGCATGCTTAGTGTGAGGGATTGTATTTGAGTCAATGAATCAATGCAATCAACTGGTTTTCCTTAGATAGAAAACTTTGAATCAATTTGACTGTATGATTTGGTTGGATCCAGGCTCAAAATGAGCACCTTGATATGTGCTTGAGAATGGCTTTGTCTCCATTCAAACCCAGGTTTAAAGCCTCGCAGGGCAGCCTAAAGCCCACTGCTCTCATTAAGCCAGAAAAAAAAAAGGTCAGTTCAGGTGTTTTTAAAAAAAATGTGTGGATCAAGAAATTCTCTATATACTAAACAGAAAGATTGTTGTTCTATACTTCAAAAAACACTCTAGATTTTAAAATGGAAAAATGTCCTATACTTTTTTTTATAATTTTTTTTTATTACAAAATGTAATGTATAACATGAATGCATAAACACCTCATTTTATTTCAGTGTTAAATTCCGTTTAAAGTAACGGATTATAATTAAAAATGTCTCCGGACCTTTACTGGTTGATGATTTTCTTTATTAGGAACCTGCTGATTTTTAATTGGTTACCCCTGCTCTAGAGGTTACATGAGAAAAATGAATACATTCATTAATTCCTTTCTTGAGCCCTTAGCTACATTCAGCATTTTTTTTCCTTTTTTAGTCGTTGTATTACATGCTTTACATGCACCTCCGTACCACATTTAACTAGCACTAAACAATACAGTTTTTAATGCCAAATGCAGTTGTAGAGGTTATCTAATTTTTACATTAGTAAAATTACCAGGACAACCGTTAATTGTTTCAGCCCCAGCTAAAGAAGATAAGTTACCCATATTATACCTCAATGAATTCACAGTGAGTGTGTTATCTTTCACTTTCATCTATATGACAAAGCTGCAAATGCTGCTGCAGTTTCCTAGCTGTCATTTGGAAAATGTAGCATACAATAAGTGACCATGGAGGTGAGATGAGATTATGTTCTCCTCTGCCTTTTTATACAATGTGCAGGGTATGGCAATTATCCTGTATTTCTGTGTGAAAGGAGAACTCGAATGAAAATAATATTTTAAAATTGTGAGACTCTTCCCAAAGAGGAGAGCATTTAAACTTGTTTTGTCAACAAGTGACAGTGCTAGCTGTGCAGCTTCTTTTCTTGTAGACAGAAGGCATAAATGCTTTATCTCATTCTTTCTCTGCTGTATCACCTGTTTTAGTGAGATTTTAAAGCCACAGCGCTGCCACTGTCTGAGTGCTTCTCATAAATCAGAGAAGATCTACCTAAATAACAGGCAGCAATCCTATTTCTTACTCAGGGTTGCACATTTGTCTTATTCATTACTGAAATATGTAATGATTCCTATACCATAGAAACAAAAAGAATATATCTAAGTGTAGTGCAGCACTGCGATCCTGAATACTCAAGGAGAGGTTACCATGGAAACAGTTACATTGGCCAGAAATGAGAGCAGAGAAAGATTCAGACTTTCACTGTACATCAATTTTTAACTATAGATTGTTTCTACATCCGCATTTCACATGACTGCAGCTGCTCTGGAGTCCAGATGTTTCTGGGAGACATGACATGAGGGAGCACGTCTCTGTGACAATAAAATGTGCACTAATCACACTTGATTCACACTCCTGAAAATATTGTGTAAGGGTCATTGAAAAAGGTTACAAACCTCAGCCCTTGCTTTTTCAGGCCCATAAATAATTTAATTCAAAGTAGTTATCCAATAAATTCAACAATTATAGTCCTTCTGACATTCTCAAGCAAAATATTACATAAACATTTAACAAAATCCACTGTCACTTTAAATAAGAGATGTATTTTCACCTAATCAAATTTCAAAAATTACTTTTTGAATGTAACCTAATTTTAACTCCAATTAAACCAACAATAAATAAATCGAAGAAAATAAACATAATACATATGTATACTTGGTTAAAAAACCTACAATGTTCCTCTAAATATGGTACAAGTAAAATCCTACAAAAAGGAAATTACTTTGAAATAATGCATTGACCTGCTAAAAGTGTTAGCTGGTATTTTGGTCAAAATATCTGTATTTTTCTTTTTTTTTTATTGTAATAAAAGGTTTATATACAGTACATGATCTATTTAACCCCTATTATATTGTTTTTTGTGAAATTTTTATCCCAAAACATGATAAATCAATAAAAACCATATTAACACCTTGTTACCATAGCACTAAAAGAAAGATCATCAAAGGGCTTGACGATCTTCTGAGAAAATATTAAAACTGTTTTTTTATATTAGATATGAATGCCTTTATAACAAAATTCACACACTAAAATCATTCCGTTCCGATGTTATTTTGTTATTTTATTTTAAAGCTTTCAGCCTAATATCATTTTTTTTAATGTATCTTAATATTTTAATAACTAATAATTTAATACTATAGAAAACATAGTAAAAATGTTAGTATTTCTTTGGTATGATAGAAATATAAGATATAGTTTTTAATTGTCTATTTTTAAACCATTCTAAACTTTTCAAAATCAAATATGCTCCACTATATTAGTTTCTAATAATATTATAAAATAAAGGGGCACTCTTGGAGATTTGCTAACTTCAAATGTTGATGTTATAAAATATGTTTTTTTTCATTACCTAATAAATAACATTTTATATGGGTGTATATATATATATATATATATATATATATATATATATATATATATATATATATATATATATATATATATATATATATATATATAAAATCTGAATTAATGCTGCGGTGAGAATATTTTGATGGACCAAACACTCGACACTCTGACTGTTCTACACTGTGCAGTACATTTACATCATTTAATAACATACACCTACTTTCTCTATCATGTCTGCTCCCAGCAGACTGATACAGCATAAATGCTGCATGGCCTAAGCTGCAGGGCCAAACTGTGTGTCAGATAATACTCAGCTGCAATGAAAGTTTAATAAAACTGCAACACATGCCCGTCATGGATATCTAGGAACTGACTGCTTCGCTAATTACCATCCTCTCGCGTCTCAATATGCTGCATTTCCCCTGAACTGGTCCATTACAATTGTTGCAACGCTAAAGGAGCTCTGCGTGCACCACTTTATTATCAACTGTGTCGAATAAATGATTGAATTTCAAAATGACCGTATTGAGGAGTTTTACTCGCGGCATCGCTAGTCTTGTGGAAATGACATTCTGTAACTCTGGAGGGACCCTGGAAAGCACATGATTTTACCCTCTGTGAACAGCAGCCAGCAGTGCTTAGGCACAGGGACAAAGAATGGATTTAATACCACTTTTCTGATGAGAAAAATACATTTTAGAAACCTTAAACTATCACTGTTAGGGGCTTTTTTTCCCCTATTAAGCTGAAGTACTAATTCATCAATCATGATTAATAAATATCAACCCCTTTTTTTATTAGCTGCTATTTGTCCAGTGTTTCACTCAGAAATGAAAATCAATCAAATACAATCAGCAGCTCAATAAGTAGCCCAGCTGAACGTGAGCAGTTAGCATCCATGAAATTGCTCAATACAACCAGTCAGATTTGTTGCAGACCCACTTCACATTCCCATCATGAAAAAGAATACCCCTTCTTTGCACACACAGCCTGAAGCCAAAGCATATAGTAAAACAGGCTTTTTTTTTTTTTTTTTTTAAGTGCCTAAAGTCGAACATGTTGCTTACCCGTGGTCTCCACGATGCCTTCTAGTATCACCACAATTTCAAACTGCTCCGTTTGCATGGACCTTTGCGAGAGGTCGTAAAAGGGGCTTTTGGTGTCAATCACATGGCAGATTGTGAGCGGCGAGACGAGGAAGAGTTGGTCGGCCCCGGTGCTGAAACCCACATCCAGCTCCAGCTGATCCAATGGAAGAAACTCACCTTCAGGAGTCTGACGAGACTGATGGGCCATGAAGAAAGCAGAAATAGATGTTTAACTCAAAGAAGGAATGGTTAACATATTGGGGGCAGGTATCAACAAACACAAACAACCTATATCATAAAAGCAGTGACAGATATAAAGGTCAGTCACACAACATAAAGATGCCCAGAGAGTAATCTACAAGAAGCAAGAAATTAACTGATTATTACCTCTTAAAAGAAACAATTATTTCTAAGAATATTCATCAATGTAAGCAATAATTAGATATACACAAATCCTAAAAATAACAACTAAACACACATTTTTTTCATACATGAGGTTTAACTGTCCGAATTTCAGTTTTTGTACCCTCTAAACACTACATCTACTTTGTATTTTTCAAATTTTTCAAATGCATTTTTTATTTTATAAAGGAATGTCTTTATTTAGCCAAGAAGAATAGTTTGGCCTTGGCATTGATGACTAGGCTGTTAGCCTGATTTATATCACTCTCACTCTACTACTCAGACGTCAACTGCTTGGCAGCTCTGTATCGTTTCTAAACTAATTTACATGTTGTTTAGAAATAAAAAGAAGATTGATTGCATATTTTATGGAAATAATAATGGTAATCTACTTAAATTTAAATGTTGATCAGGTTCAAAAATGGTCATAATTTTATATTTTATACAAATGTACAGATTTTTTTAATTGCCAGGCTATATTACTGAATTAAATTTCTGTAACAGTTGGTCGGTGAAGTAGAATATCTCATATTCAAGGCTTATTTAGTAATAAAAATTCACCACATAATAATCATTGAAGATGTAAAATCTCTATTTAAAATTTCAAACTGCAAAGATTCTATAGAATACAAGAAATAGAACCACAATCTAGCAGTGGAGCAGATGCAGTGAGTAAGATGCCAACTATATTTTCATTAGTACCATGCAGTTTCTTGGAACATTTTCTTATACTGCTTATAAACTGAACCCAGGGTGCATACGGTCGATGTGCCATTGCCAAAATGCACTAGAAATCTGGAGCACAGCTAAGGAATAACTTTTTGTTCACCCTCATTGCTTTTATTTTGTCTTAAAAGTTTGAAAAGTGTGATTCTCATTTTGTATAAGAGTATTAAGCCATTTCTCATAAGAAGGGCCCTGGAATGATCTAGATGCTCTTACTGCAGCCTCAGATGCACCAAGAGAAATGAAGTATATCAGATGTTTGTGTTGTAAACCCCTGGACTCTGAAACTACCTGCCCCATGAAATTTGTACTGCAGAGCCATTTTATGTGGGCTTTTTAAATTAGTTAAGTTTAAATCCCATCAGGTATTTCATGATGTGCTGAATATTTGCTCAAGCTTTTCATATGTCTGGTTTCCTTCCAGCTATTTGATTTCAAACTACTTTACTGGCATTGAAGTGCTGCAGAGGGGCTTTTATAAAAGTCTTTCACTGATCTGCATTGTTGGATGTGGTGTCTGTCATCGTCCTGCTAACAATGCTTCATAGGAGGTCGGAGTCAGATCATAACCGGCATATCATATTCTAATAATATGCATTGGTACTAATAACAGAACAGCTAGGTGGCAAGCCTTGTTGAAAATTAAACCCAAACTACCAGTAAGTGTAGAGGTCAGTGTCACTCTAAGTTCAGACTTAAGGACATTAATATGTTATAAGAACTATGTAAATATATATTCATAGAAATAATAGAAATGAACAAATTTTATTGACATTTTTATAGCCATTCCTCTACAGTCCATACATTAAAGACTTTCCCTCAAATTATTTGATGATCAATGCTCTGGTTATCCCAGTTGCTTGGACAATTTTTTTCTCCACCCTTTGTTTTCAGAAAATCTTTATTAGAAATCCAGCTTCTTTGGAAATAACTACTTCTGGCTTAACTCCCTTACAAAGGGTGTCACTAAATGTAAGCACTCTTCCCTGATAAGCCCTGACATAATAAATATGTCTTTAAAATCCTGTTTTTAGGGTCTCATAAAATGTTCTAAAAAATGTTCTCATAATCTGAATGTCAAGCTTTCATTCATCTATTTGCATAAATGTCAAACTTATATCTCAGATACATTTCTGTGCGTAACGAATGGTTATAATACTGACTTTACTTTTTTTTTTCTTTTTTTTTTGCAATTTTATCATTTTTAGAATTTCCTCTAGGAATTTTGCACAATATATTTGATTACCATCAAAAACTTTATCATTTCAATAATTCACTTTTAAAAAGTAAATCTCATACATTCAATAACACACCTGGAAAAAATATCAAGCATTTATTTATCTATCAATTTGTATCATTATAGCTTAAATTTAGTTAAAAGCACTGCACAACTACCAGGAACACTTCTAATTGGACATCATCAGTCACTGACATCCTAATAATAAACCCAAGATGGATTATTGCTAAATATAAAAATATTTTGCAAAATATTTGCTAAAGATAAAGCTCACAGGATGTTCTAGCTAACTAATTGGAAGTTTTTTGTGGCAGAAAAAGATATAATAGCTCGAGGGGAAGATGGATTTTTCAGAGGAAGGTATAGAAAAGTCCTTATATATAGGCTACAGAATATTTTTCATTCACTGAAAAAAGTAATGCAACCGTTTTTGGCATTTACTTAATCATATCTAGTTATTTAACACAATTCTTACATCTTAGCAGGGTAGGACATTGAACAATTGTGTTAAAGTAACTAAATATGATTAACTAAATGCCAAAATCAGCTGTATTATTTTTTTCAGTGTTGGTTTAACATAATATTCATATATATATATATATATATATATATATATATATATATATATATATATATATATATATATATATATAGGTTTTCATACATATTAGTCATAGTCATTGAAATTAAGATACTGTAAATGGATTAAAAAAGCTCGACTTTAACTTAGTTAGTGAGATATTAGTGAAAGTTAATAGTTTTCACTTCTTCAATCGTTTTCATTATTATAGACACTAATAGGTTTTTTCTTAACCCTTTACAGGGCACTCAGTGAAATCCTTAGTGTTATTGGAATCCAGGACAAGACCTTATTACCTTTGCAACATTTAGATGGCAAATAACAAGAACACCAATTTGCCCGAATATACTAAGAAAAATAAGTGCTTCTATAAGAAATTCATGAAAAACAAAGACATTTTTTTTTTTTTTTTTTGTACAAAATAACCTTGGAGGCATTAATGCTGAAACTGGCACTTACATTTTTTAGTTTATAAACATAAATATTATTGTTAACTAGGCTTATTAACTTTTTTACTTTTTAATTAGCTTTTTTACCTTTTTTTCCTTGACTTTTTAACTTTTTTCAACTTAATTTGCTGTAGGTAATATATCATTCTAGTGTTCATCTAATTGGTTAAATGCCAAAAGAAGATGTACAGACATGTAGCAGGATCTTTGCTGAATGGCTGGATGTAGATATTGTGCTTCTAGACCTCACTGAGGGACGGAGGATACTCCATTTGTAAGGAGTATGCAATTGATCAGAAATGGTAACTTGCCCTATAAAGGGTTAATGTATCAGTCGTTTTGTGTCAGTTTTTATTTGTTTAAAAAAAATGTCAAATGGGAGACTGGAGGGGGGGGGGGGGGGGGAAACATAAGTGCTGCTCCTTCCAAAGTATCGCACTTACTTTCAGCAATTTGCAGCGGATCTGTGCAGAGACCATATGGCTGTTACGCAAGTTTCCCACCCTGAACATCAGAGTGAGTTTCCCATCACGCATGGAGATCGCCGCATGCTCGCTGAACATCAGCGTCTCGGCCCTCTTCTTGGGTTGAGACATCTTGATAAACATGCAGCCGATCAGGAACGCGTCGACGATCGATCCGAGGATGGACTGGAAGAGAAACAGTATGATCCCCTCGGGACATTTGTCTGTAATGTATCTGTAGCCGTACCCTATGGTAGCCTCGGTCTCTATGAAGAACAGGAAAGCAGAGGGAAAGTTGTACACGTTGGCCACGCACGGAGTGTACTTGTCGTTGTGCGCTTTATTAAGGTCTCCTCTGATGTAGGCGATGAGCCACCACATGGAGGCCATGAAGAGCCAAGCCACCGTGTAGGTGAGGATGAAGATGAACAGGTTCCAGCGCCATTTCAAGTCTACTAGCGTGGTGAACAAGTCCGAGAGGTATCTGCTGGTCTCACCGCCCAGGTTCCCATGCTGGACGTTGCATCGTCCGTTCTTGTCCACGAAGCGCTGCCTCTTCCTCTTTTTCTCCGGGGGAGGCTGATTGAATCCGGACCCGCTGGAGGAGGTGGTCACTACCTGATAATCGTCCCCAAATTTCTTTCGAAGTGCAGACATACTACGCTGACAAAAAAGAAATACCAAAGGATTCAATGTTCTTTAAAAAAAAATACAATAAAAAAGTCTGGTAGTTGCTGCAGCCGTGCGCAATGTCCCCTCTTTAGGAAAGTGAGATATCTTTACCTCCTTTGTTATTAGACTTCTATGTCCTCTTTCCCCACACTCTACTCTTTATAGTCATAAAATCTTAATACCAGCCATCAGAAATAAATAAATAAAAATAAACAGGATTCAATCGGCTCTTAAGGGTTGGGTATCCAAACGCGCCAGTCGCAGTCCAGGTTTTACAGCTTCATCGGTCGCTGCGTCGTGGATCACTCATCTCTCACCCTTTGGAGGCTGAGGCTTTAACCTGATAGTTCGGGAGTCGCACTTACATAGTAAGTTTTCATCTGAAACTTAAATCCGCTCTGTAGAAAATGTAAACGCCTCTGCCTAATTATCAGATTCAATTAAATGAAACCTCCCTGCGCGCACTGGCGATTGCGTTGGAGATAATTTCCTAGTCCGTGTCTTGATGCTCCGCGCGCACATGAGACAAACTCCGAGTATATGGTAATAATAAATAAAAAACAAATTATAAATATTCAGCTTGACTAGAGGAAGAGAATCACCGTCCCGTTGTTGTCATTTTGGTGCGTTTATGGCCACGGCTGTTCCATTCCTTCTTATGGAGGCATCGAGTGGTTGTTAGTTGCTCTGCTTGTATAAAAAAAATCCAACAGATTAATTTTTTTTTTGGCTGCTTATGTCCCTTTCTTTAGCTCCGGTTTCTTTGCTCGGCTCCTGCGCACTTTTGCATATCAAGTGATGCGCTCACTGTTGCCTAGTGGTGGGGAGACACAGTTTGGAGGACAGGAGAGAGAGGGATTGCCTCATTTAACAGCTTTTTTTTTCCCATTTTGCTTTTTTCTTGCAAGTATTTGGAATCCCAGTTAAGCAGAGCTGTGGAATGAACTCACTTTTTTTTTTTTTGTCTGTGTGTTAAAAAAAAAACAGAAACAACATGACTAATCTGTAATAGAGGTCTGTGCTTTTTACCAACTCTCCAAACTCTTCACACATCTTTAACTTTTTAATAATTTCTTAATGTCTAATGTTAAGGTGTTTTAATGTTAGAGAAAAGCAGCAACTGTGGATAGAAAAAATAAACTGTTTAAAAAGAACATTCAATTTTGCCCTTGGAACTCAACATCATTTTAGATACAATTAAGGGACTTGTATAACAAAGAGATGAAACACAGAGTAGACCAAAAGGAAAATGGAATTATCAAAATGTTGATGAAGACCTATAAGGGGAAAAATATATATATATAGACCAGTGTCTTAAATCTATAAATATCTGTTGGGAAATAGAGGCTCTAACATTCTAGATATTAAACAAATTGGGAAAAGGAATTCAGATAAAGGAAGATGATTGGTTGAATATCTGGAGGACCCAAATTTTGACATCCTCCTCCAGAATCTGGAGAGAACACTGTTGGAAAAATACAATCAGATTTTTTATAAAACCTAAAATTATCAGTAAATTTAAATCTACTGTTCAACCATGTTGGAGAAATTGTGGAGCATCTAATGTCAACCATGCACACATTTCCTGGCTCTGTTCTAAAATCAGTTCTGGAACGAAATAAACAGAAAGATTGGAACAATATTAGGTTACACAGTACCTAACACCAGTTTGGTTCTATATCTAGGCCTTTTGGACAACTTTGTTCTTAATAATGACTGTTATTTGTTTAAAATTCTGTCGGTGGCTGCCAAAAAGGTAATAACCAGGAAGTGGGGCCAATCCGTTCCCCCCACCACAAAGGAATGGATACAGACTGTGATCACATAAATGAGACAGAGATTCTAACACATAGACTTAGAACACAGGAAGAAAAATGTCAAGCCAAATGGGAAAAATGGATAAGCTTCACATCAACATTACAGGACTAACTTGGGTTATGTAGGATGCCCTCGATCTTTGGTATATTGTAAAAAGAGTTTCCCCCTAGTATGTTATATTTGTTTTATTGGTTCTATATTTTATTATCTTTTATATTGTTTTGACTGCCCTTTTGTCTGTATTTTAAAAAAGCTTAATAAAAATGAATTTATAATAAAAAAAAGAACATTAAAAACTTTTATAAATTATGCTACAAAAAGGTGCTTTGGACAAATTAAGATTGGAAAATGAAAACTACTCATCAATCTGGACACACTGATCACATTGTAAAACATAGTAGTTGTGGCATCAAGATGTTTTTGTGTAAAATGGAACTAAAGACCAGACATAACAAGATGGATTGACAGAGCAAATAAACACAGGGCATTACTGGAGGAAAACAAGTTAAAATATCCAAAAGTTTTCAGTCTGTGGAGGATGGATGTTACTTTTCAAGCATCCTAAACATACAGCCAAAATTACACCGGGCTTAAAAGTGGACAGTTATTGATTTTTCCACAGTTTTCAGTAAGTTTAGAACAGACACGCCTTCACAATCCCTAGCAGTTCATTCAAGTTTCGTGGTTGCACCTTGCAGTGTAAATTCCTGTAAAAGGTTACGGCATCACTCCATGTTTCCCTAATGAATGTGTAGTGTTGTGCAAATGGGAGCTATTGATCTTCCATTATTCAGCAGGTCTGTCTACTGGTCGTTGAAACTTGTTTACAGGTTATTCTTCTGGGTCACCTGTGTTAACAGCCTCCAATGACCCTGTTACTCTCCCAGAGGGGACTGCACTTTATTTTCCTGATATATCTACACATGTTCAGCAGGGAGGGTTTCTCACACTCCACACACACACATTAATGGCGGTATTAGCTCCCAGGTGCACAAAAACTGCAACTACAATTACTCATCATATTACCAAGATTGTAGCCACAAAAGAATACACCCACACTGCCCAAGCGCACACATCGTGTCAAACACAAGAGGACAGGAGGAACAAAATAGCACCTCCTCTACAATAAAAAGCTGAGTCGTCTCTACCCCTGTTCTTTGTTTTTTCTCTGTTTTTTTTTTTATTTTTTTTTATCTCTGCTGCTTTGTGCACAGGTTGAAAACAGCAAAATGATTTTTGTTAAGAACCCTCTGAGTGAATCAGGAAATTTGCATTAAAATCTGATATTCTTTTAATCAGTTTAGTGACTATGTGGATTAATTTAATCCTTTTTTGCATGATGAAAGTACACTCTAATAAAAACACTAAAAAAGACACATTTAATTACTTTTTTGATGCCCAAATGCACCAACATCATTAGATACAGAGGATTTTTTTTTATGTATTTATTTTAATTAATAAATGAGGATTTTTTTTATGAGTCATGCAGTCTATGTATTCTCTTTGGGTAAATAAAGAGGACTTATTATCAATTGCGAAGTGCACTATTGTTTAAAGCAATCATTTAATCACTTGTGCATGTTTTTATTAAATTATGGTAGTATTTGTAACTTTAAAAAAATATATTACATCTTCAACATAGAACAAGTTCAGCATTTAATGATTTTCACACCATGATTGTTTAAAAACGAATTAAATACAGACACACAACCTTGGCAGAGATTTTGACCTTGCATGCCCTTTCCAATTCAACATGGATTTCAACCCAGTTCCCTTGTATTATACCCTCATAATCAGAAACAAAATTTTATATATGTACATATATATATATATATATATATATATATATATATATATATATATATATATATATATATATATATATATATATATATATATATATATATTGTCTGCACACAACTTTCTCAGTTTTTGCTCTTTGACTTTCTATCAGGCTATCTCACCTGTTCCCACTGAACTAATTGCTCTCCCATTACTTAGACTCCTCCTCCGCATCTATGCCTGTTGAATTATTTTCTCTGTCATGATGCATACAAACTGTTGGGTATTTTTTTAAGTTTGCATTTGCTATCCTTTGGCTCCCTTCTATTATTGCCTCCAATACCATGTTTTTTTTTATAGCACAGATTTTTTTTAACTTGCTTTGCATAATCAATTATGTCATAAAGCATCACTTTTACATTTCCATCATACTCCAACTCCTTTCATTGCACCAAATTAAACTCTTAAAAGTCTATTATGGTGTTTGAATTTAGTGTGCCATCACATATTGATCAGCTGCCCCTTTAAGTTAGAAAAAAAAATTTTAGCCACCCCTAATTCTAGCTGCTATGATATACAGACCATAATTGTGATATATCATTTTAAAAATGTACTTCTGATGAAGCTTGTTATTTGGATTTATTTATTTTTAAACCATTCCTGGATCCACTGTCTGAGCTCACCAGGATCAATATGCTGCCAAGTCAGTCAGGTTCCAGGTGAAAGAAATTCTACTCCTTTATTCACTTGCAGCTTTCTGCAGTTTAGCACATCACATTATATGTCTTGTCTAAATCCAGCAAGCCTCACTGTATAAACAGTAGCTCCTAAAAACAGCACTAAGTCCTGACATAACTGTTTCCAAATGAATGAGTGCATGGCAGCACAGTGAGAAGTTGCGATGCCTCACAGAGCTGTCTGTGGGGCTTTGTGATGCAGTACTTTTGAGGAGAACAGACAAGAAATGATTTCCCTATCAGTCACTGGGCCATCATAATTGCCAGGTGAGCATTAGCTATCCCGCCTCTGCAAGACTCTGTGCTTTTATAATGAGCACAGAGGGACACAGGTCATCTAATCTCTGCATCCTGGCCCTCATTAGGAGAAAGAGGCCATTTTCATGTTTGCAGAGTGAAAATAAGGCTATTAGTTGGAACTGTCCAGCAACCAGCCAACCAGCACTGTGAGGTACACATTTTTAATTGCTGTATTTTCCAAATGTAGTCGAAGAGACATAAGTTTATATTTTAGTTTTGACAAAATGTCTTAAACTTCCTGAAAAAATAAAGCAATTAACTTCAGGAAACAGAGGGCCGGATCTATCAAAGGTTTGCGTGTATTAAAACGTGAGCTATTTCACTGCGCACGCTAAAAAATGTACAAACTGATCTATCAACAGCGTGCTAAAAGCATTTGGTCTTTAAAACGTGCTAAATAGCGCCTCTGATCCATTTAGTACATTTTCTGCAATGAATATGCAATATGGGGCGTTTACACGCTAAAGTGCGTCTTGTGGGAGGAGAACATGTAAATATATTAATTTAGCACTCGCAAAGTGATTTATCAAACTTGAACGCAATTTTGCTAACGGTATCTGACTCTATATTTAACACGTTTCAAAAGAAGGTGCAAATGGTCTGTATGCGTAATTGCGCACACATGGCAGCGGTTATTGTCGCAAGAAGGAGACATGGAAATAAAGCAAGGAGACGCAGAGAACGCAGTTTTTCACTCCGTGTGAATATTTTTGCAATGAACGAGGAAACAAACATATCGTTTATCCAGCATTGCCATTTTGGAGCTGTTGGGGGAACTCCGAATGGATTTGGAGCCAGCCACAAGGAGGACCCACGCAATACCAGATATCACAAAACTCCTTGCAACATTGCACTTTTTTGCATCTGGGTCATTCCAGCGTACGGTTGCAGCGAGAGCTGGGATCTCCTAATCTCGTTTTTTCAGAAGTGCTGTCCGAAGTGCTGTCCGACGGGGTCGGGGTTCTCCCCCTGCGCCTGTGGAGCAACGTGCCAAATGCTGCGGGGATCTCATCCACAGTCACAGGCCAATACAAAACACCTGTTTTTTTTTTTTTTTGTTTTTTTTTTTTACTGCAGCACATAGGCTACCACCTTAGGGAATAAATGTTGCCAATTTATAAATATATATATATATATATATATATATATATATATATATATATATATATATATATATATATATATATATATATAT